TGGACGGCGAGGAGCTTCAAGTCGTTGAGCAGATGCACACAACCGGCTACTGGATCAACGAGCGCGGCCGCAAGGTCGGCGGCAAGCTGCGGTTCCGCATCAAGAACTTTGATGTTGGTCAGGCGGGTGACTACGGATATCTCAGTATCGAGGGAACATGTTTGGACGAGGAGGCGGAGAAAACTCTTGCGTCAGAGGAACGGGCGGCAGAGAAGAGGCGGCGCGCCAAGCAGAGTGGCCTGCTCAAGCCCATGTCGAGAAGGGTGCCCGAGTTTAGCATGACCAAATTTGGCAAGGATGACGAGGAGGAAGACGACGGGAAAAGGACGGTCCTGTACAAGGCCAGCCGGCCCGGCACGCCCGATGACTAGGTGTGGTTGGGACTGGTAAATTTTTCTTCCTCTCCTGTATCAGTGCGGTCTGCTAAGAGCCCTGGGTTTCGCTGAGGATGGAGAGAACACGTGGGCAAATTGGTGTCTTTTGGCACATCATCTAGACTTTTGGTGGTTTTACAAACAGCATGAGCGTCTGACCTCGGGCCTCATGGCCTTTGGAGTTGGTTTGGGCAATGTCGGTAGATCAAGGTGTACGGTTGGGAAAACGGGCAAAAGCCATAATTATTTGTTTTGTTCTATTCTGTTCAGTTCATATGTGTGACAAAGAAACCATCAAACCCAAACGCCACCGTTTTGACCCAAAGAAATTCCCAAAGTCGGAACCCGTTTCATCCAGCCATAAATGGAAAACGAACGCTAAACGCACAAAAAGACAACGCAGATTATTGCGTACTTCCACCTGTCCAAGTCGACCCAGTCATGGTGACCAAATCCCTTCTCGGCTTGTTGTAGTAGACCCTCCTTGACGATCCAGTCGTCGCCGTCATTTGCCTCCTGTTTCTCGATCTGCTCTGGGACGTGTTGTACAGGTTTCGGTTTCTCGGCTTCACCGTCCGGACCAGTGCGCGTAACATGGGAACAGCAGCAGCCATTATCGTCACGGCTGCTTCGGCATTGCCCCAGATAACCAGAGTTACACCATCATCTTTTTTTTTTTTTTTCCTTGTCAGCCTCATCTTAATTCAACACACATTTTTTTTTTTTTAAAAAAAAAAAAAAAAAGGGGGAAGCAAAACCTACGTGGGAAATCCCGCCCTCCAAGCTCAGGCAACGACGAACACTTGATAAACGCCGAGGCGGCAGCGAAAACCCCCATGCTCATGGCCAGCGCAACACCAACCTTCTCCTTGGTCTGCATCTGAAGGTTCATGATGATCTTCCACGGAATGATGGCCAATATCAAGTCCATGACTCCCGAGTATGCTTTTTTTTTTCACATTGTCAGCTTCCTTAATCTCGTCTCCAATAAATAGTAGATAAATACGTATACACCTACCACTAGTAAAAATCCCATAAGTAACAACAACATTAACGCTCCAACACGTCCCTCTCATAAAGGGATGCCACGCCTTCTCCAGCGGGGTGCACCCGACCCAAAACAGCATGGCCGACACGCCGAACAACAAATTCATGCTCACAATGGCGAACCAGATGAAAATGCGCGTCTTGCCGTGTATCCCGTCGGAAATCATGAGCAGGGAGATTGCAAAGGAGGTCTTGCTCCAGGCCTGACTGCAGATTGCCAGAGTCACGGTTATCTGTCCAATCAGAAACATGTCGTTTAGGTTTTTGAAGGGGATCTGCCAGACGTGTTTCCCGTAGCCGAGGTCTATGGCCAGGTTGTTGCATATCGAGCTGCCGAGGAGCGCGATCCAGGCCGCGATGGAGAAGTAGTCGTCCGCGTGGAGGCGGCGGTGGCGGATCAGTTTGCAGTAGACGCGCATGAGGAGGAAGAGGAGGGAGGCGCCGGTCAGGATCCAGACCGAGACGCGGGTGGTGGGACCGAGGTCGGCGAATTGGGCTTTGCTGTTGAAGAAGGGGGGGAACCCGCCGCCGCCGCCGCCGCCGGTGGTGGTGGTTGAGTTTCGTCGGTTTGGGTCGGTGTTCATGGTTTTCTCTCTCTCCCTTGAGGTCCTTTTGTTGGTCAAGTCGTGGTATGATGAGTGACCAGCACAGTAACAAGTTATCGACACTCAAAAGTTTCAAAACGTATACCACAACGATGATCTTGTTTTCAAAACGAAGAATTCTCTTTGATTTTCTGGTAAAAAGAAAGAAGTAAAAAAAAAAGAAAAAAAGAAAGGATCCGGGAGAATAACTAAAGTTGAGGAGCCTGAGACTCCGGACGGACTGACCATCATCCTGTCTTCAGGACTTCGCGTTCCATTAAATCTGGCGATCACAGTATCAGACTGAAGAGCAACATCCAAGCACATTTCCCCATTCCATCATCTCTGACAAGCCTTTTCGGTAGTTGAGTGGTTTCGGAGAAGCCCCTGAAAATCGCTGCGGGGGATAAACGCCCGGTCTGGACTCTGAAGTCCCAGAACACGGATTAAGCATAAAAGCCAAGAACCGTTGATGCAACTCTACGAATGTCTATTCACGGAAACATGGGTTGGCAACAGCGCACTGACTTCATCCCCGAGATGTTTGAAGCTGGGCCCGCGCGCGTCCCAAGAAAGAACAGGATGATCACACATCCGAAAGCAGGAAAGCATGGTAAAATGCTTCTAGAAGCTTTCGAAAAAATCGCATCCAGATCCGGAAGTCCCAAGTAAACAATTACGGTCTTTGCGATCAAAAACAACAAAGAAAGGGAGACCGCATTTGATCACGGCAGTGCTTTAAGAAACTAATTACATACGTTCCCCGTCCATTTCAACCATGAGCTCATCTGCAGCGGCCTTGCGCTTCCATTGGAACTCAACACAAAATGTCGGACCGTGACCTAGATTATCAAGACAGGTTTCCTGAAGAGTGGCCAATACATCTCTGGAATCACCTGTCAATAGTCCTTCATCCGAGGAAAAACCCAGAATGTGCAGAAAGGGCGGAATCGGCCGAGAAGGACAAGGTGCAGTCAACAAGGTACCTAACGAACCGTGACAAGGGGTTCCTCTTCATCAGCTGGTTCCACGAGACCACGGGGAGGCTAGACTTTGAGGACCGCAGGGAGCACGGAAAACCCCCCGGGAGCGTCGGTCTCTTTGCGACGGTGGATTGGCCTCACGAGCTGGTGGTCATCAAGAGGATACTCGGACACACGGATCGAACGCTAAACTACTCACCCAACGGACTCTATCACCCCGAGGTTGCCTTCAACACGGTCCAAGATAGGGTTCGCGACAAGGTGAACCTGCCTGCACACCCACCCGTCTTCCCACAAACGTACGCTTTCCAGGTCCATAAAACCGAGACTCCAGAAGACACAGAGGCCACCATCTTTCAGAAATTCTACAACGGCGGAACCCTGAAGGAGCTGCTGCTCAAGCACAGGAACTACCGCGGCGACAACAATGGGATTTCCGTTCCCGAGCCCTTCATCTGGCACGTCATTGCCGAGCTGGGGCGCGCCTATTCGATGCTGCACACGGGGGAAGCCAACGCCCGGTCTGACGAGGCGTCGTTTTTCAGAGATCACAAGGACGACCCCGATCACGAAATGAACCGGCGCGGCATGCTTCCCGGACGTGGCAACGACCAGTCAATCGTCCACTGCGGCGGCAGCTCGGAAAACATATGGCTGCATTGGCCCGACAAGGCCGAGAGGAAGCACGAAGCTCGGCTGCACCACCGGAGATATATTCGCCACTACTGCCCGATGATAGTTCTCGGCGACTTCGGGTTGGCCTTTGAGGCGGGCAAAGCGAGCGAACGCTCGGCCGAGCCAAACGAGGACGTCCTCTGCCACGGCGCACACCCGGACATGCCGGAGCGGGCAACCTGGCGGGACAAGGCCCACCTCGGCCACATCATCAAGCATCTCATCTTGGCCGACAGAGCAGGCGTGAGCGTCAACGACAACATGCATCACGACTTTTTGAACGCCAGAACCGGCAACCAGCTCACCCTCACCGGGAACGTCGCCCTCTACGGCCTCGACGCTCTGTACTCCCCCCGTCTCCTCCAACTCGCCCAGCAGCTCGAACCGCTGGCCAACCTGCTGACAATGACAGTCAACGGCCAGCAGGACTTCTGGGGCAGCCTCCGAGGCACCACAGCAGCCGACTGGGCCGCCTGGCCGACAAACGACTACCTCTACGGCCACGTAGTCGCCGAGGCGGACCACATCGTCAACAGCCACAACCAAGACCAACGGGACAACCTCGGGGCGGAATACAGGATACCGGACGACGTGGCAGGCGGGAGGAACCTCTGGACGAACGGCCGGAAGGACGTGGGCTGGACGAGACCAAAGGAAAGCTTCATCCCGGTGAGGTCGCGGGAGCGATACCCGCCCGAGACGCGCCGCGACTGCCGGGCGGTGTGGAAGCACCTCGAGAAGAAAATCGATACCGAATTCGCGGATTACGACTACCCGGACCGCGCGCCCTACGAGGACCGCCCCGTCGAGATCATGAAGGTCTGGCCGGACAGCATCGGGGAAGATTTCAGGGACGATCCCGATTTGCCTGGTATGGTTGACCCCGGGCCGGACGATTGGGATTCTGCGCGCAGGAAGAGGAAGCAGGCCGAGGACGCGAGGGGAAGGCAGGATGCGCGCAGGGCGGTTTGGGCGGAGCCTGGCGCGGCTACTGGTAAGGGGATTGGGAAGGCGACTAAGAAGGGGACTGGCAAGGGGATTGGTAAGGCGACCAAGACAGCGACTGGCACGGCGACTGGTGCGGCTACTGGCACGGCGACTGGTAAGGGGGTGGGTAAGGGGATTGGCAAGGCGACCAAGAAGGGGACTGGCTGAGCCCAAGCTCCATAAGAGTGCTACTGTTTTTTGGGAACGAGTATCGGTTCTGCAAAGGGCTTGCAGAGGAAAAAAAGAAGAAATAGGAGAGACAGATAACCGATCAAAAGATATATATCTTGTTGATTTGACAAACGGGGCTTCGAGCTGAGAAAGCGACAAGAGACGCAAAAATAATAAGCTGCCTACTACAGGAATCGAACCTGTGATCTTTGCATCTCTCAAAATCCATCACTGGATACAAGTGCAACGCATTAGCCACTATGCTAAGCAGGCCAACAAATCATTTCGTTGGATGCAGGGGGCGCAGCTGAGCGTTTTGATTGCGAAGTTTCAAAATAACTTGATTGGCGGTTTAAATACTAAAAATCATCCAAATCCGCGATTTCTCCCCAGGAGACAATACCACCAGAATCAGGATATAATCTACAGAGGGCCAGCATTCCACGGCTAATAGACTAAACAACCCCGGAAGTCACCACCAGAATACAGATCATCGAGCGAAGCGAGGCCGGGGGGTTTGGGGGCTTGCCCCCATCAAATACCAAGAAAAGAATTATGGCATCGAGTCGGATCAATTTATTATCCATCAAGTTGAACGACCTCCCCCTCCTGCTACTCACAACTTTGACCTCTCCGTATCCCCCTCGTCGACAACCTTCCAAAACCTCTCGTACGCGTCCTTCTCGGCGTCAAAGCTCAACAGCCACGGCTCCCTGACCAGATGAATCATCTCGGGCGTCTTCCACACCTGCGTCCAGTCGGCCTTGTGCCACCTCTCCCTCGTCTTTGGTCCCATCGCCTGCGCCTTGTGCACCCTCTCGTACCGCAGCTTCTCATACGCCCTCAACGCCCTCGGGATGTTCCCCTTGCCGCTCAGCTCCAGACAGGCAGCCAGCGCGACGCCGTCCTCGATGCTCTGGCTCGCTCCCTGGATCGAGGTGGGCAAAAAGGGGTGAGCCGCATCCCCAATCAGCGCGATCCTGGCCTTTGGCGAAATAAACGTCGGCAGCGGGTCTCGGTAAACCAGTTTGTGATCAATCAGCCTCCCCTCGGGCGTGGCTTTCACCAACTCGTGCACCACGTCGCACCACCCGTCCAGATACTTGAGCGCCTCGTCGGGTTTGCCGGGGAACTGCCACGACTCCTCGATGTTTCCATCGTCGATATGAGTGAAGACCCAGTTCACCTCGGTGCCGTTCTTGATGGACGAAGCCAGGAAGTGAATGTCGGGACCGATGAACCCCTGATGCGTGTCCCCGTTCTCGACGAGGTGCTTGATCACGGGGTTGTTCCTGATGCGGTCGGCGGGGAACCAGGCGCGATAAACGGCGTATCCGGACGATTTGGGGTTCTCATCGAACCCCAGCACGATTTTGCGCCCGCGGGACCTGACCCCTTCGGCTGCGATGACCACGTCGGCTTTTATGCGCTCCCCGTTCACAACCACCCCGGCTGCAGGCTGAGGGGAATCGTCCTCAAAGTAATCCTGCACCCTCTGTCCGAGACGGATGTCGATGCCCCTCGCGACGGCGTGGCGATAGATGATGTTGTGCAGCTGCCCGCGGTGGGCGTTGATGCGCCTCCCCCACTTCTTTTCGTGGGCAAAGGACTGGCGGGTCACGAACTTGCCTTGGTGGTGGTAGAGGTCGAGCCAGGTGGTCTGGCGCGCGATGGCCTCCATCTGGTCGACCACGCCCGGCCAGCGCTCGAAGGCCTTGGAGCCGTTGGGGTCGAAGCTGATGATGTCGCCGATGCGGAGGAGCTCCTCGATGTCGTCCGACTTTTCGTAGAGCGTCACGCTGTGGCCCTTGCGGTCGCACTCGATTGCCGCCGACAGGCCCGCGAAGCCGGCCCCGACGATTATTACTTTGATTCCCGAGGGGGGGAGGCGTGGGAAGTTGTTGGCCATTTTGGCCTCTTGAAGCTGATGGCTGTCGAGTTTGGGATTGAGTTCAAATTGGAGAAGCGGCGGTGAGGAGTAAGGATGATGATGGTGATGATGATGATGATGATGCCTGGGAGAGGGGAAGAAGAGGAAGAAAAAGAACCAATTCAGTGAGCCAAAAATCGGGAACCCCGGTCCTTTTTTAACACCCGGCCGATTATCCCGCTGTCAGTACCGTGACTACAGGTGACGTTTTAATCTCCATCACCTTCACATCACAGGCTGAACTGCCGACCCCCCCGCTTGTCCTCGGTCTCGGAGGTTGGTTGGTAAACAGCACATACTGCACACAGCACAACCAACATTTTCGCTCTGCAGTTGGGGGTCATGGTAGTGAAAAGAAGCCAAGCCTCGGGGAGAAATCATATTTTAGCCACTTTCATTGGTCAATTTGACACAAAAAACCCTTCCTCGGACATGATCACCCGCTTCTGGAACGTTGAATCTGGTTGAATGCGGGGGAACGGGGGGGTTGCATGGCGCATGGCCGTTGGAACTTGGAAGCTGTGCCGCGGGCTTGCTGGTGGAAGCGAGTTCGTTAGCTTGACGCCCATGGTTCCATGTCTATCATGAAGAAATGGATATGTTGGAGTGAGTTGGTGCAACTGTAACATTTCATCTGCGGCTCTGTTGGCTTAGCATCACGCTCGCAACGTGCTTTTACCTCCAGTTGGGTCCGGAATGGCCTGATGAATGCATATGCCAACAGTTCAGATGGAATATGGCTAACTTTCAATTGGAGAGAATGAGTATGGGAAACGAGCATCCAAGAGCACAGAGCTCAGGGTGCCGCAAGAAATTGAGAAAATAGCTGAGAGCGAAAAAAGCTTCAATTTGTACTGCATGTTATTATAGCGCATGCCAACCAAGTATATACATGAATCTTCATCCCCTGTTCGTCCCTCCCCCACACCCTCTCATATTGACCACCGCGGCTCTTCAGCTTACAGGCACTGAGAGTACCACTGGTTGGAGGACCTGCAGGTCGAGCCAGACTGGCAGCAAGTCGGGCCGCTCCAGCCCTGACCGCCGCACTGGGCCCATTTCGCAGCGCAGCTACCACCGCCGCCGCCGTTGGTAGGCTGAGGAGCAGGTCCCTGACTGGTAGTAGGCTCGGGCGCCGGGTTGCCACCGCCACCGCTTGAGGCGCCGACGTTGATGGTCGCGCTGCCGCTGGAGAAGTATCCCTCAGTTGCCACAACCTGGTAGTTGTGGGTTCCGAGTCTGAGGCCAGCAGCAGCCCAGGCGTTGAAGTGGTTGGCCATGTTGACGCTGCCACCGGTGCGCTTGCTCTCGCGGACGGACCAGTACTGGTCAAAGGTGGCCGTGCCGTCGATGGAGGGCTGCTGGACGCGAGTCGACTTAAAGATGCCGTAGGTGCCGCCGTCGGTCGTGACGGAGCCCATCCGGGTGGCGCCCGAGGATGGGTTGTAGGTGCCGTAGTTCTCGACAACGTAGTACTCGACGAGCGGGTTTCTGGTCCAGCCGTAGACGGCGAGGTAGGAGTTGCCGTTGGGCTGGTAGGTGCCGGTGTAGTTGATGGTTCTGTCAGGCATTGTTAGCAGTTAATCAAAAGAAAGAAGGATAGAGAGCACATACCTGGCGGTACCAGGGTTCCATCCCTTGCCACCGACCCAGTTGCCGTTGCCAGACCAGCTCACGCTGTACTGACCGCCGGCCTCGTTTGTGTAGCGGACGTTCGGTCCACCATCGGTCCAGAAGGAGAAGTAGTAGCCGTTGTGTGTGCCGGTTGCGCTCTGGGTGTAGGTCTGGCGCTTTTGGACGCCGGGCATCTCACCGGGGGCAGCGAAGACCCCGATGGCGCTGGAGGCGGCGAGAAGGAGGGAGGTGAAGGTGACCATTTTGGACTATGAGGTTGAATCTGATGACTGGCCTGAAGAATCCAAAAATGAAAGCGAATTCATGGGGCTCTGTCCATGCTTATATAACAATTCCGAGGCTCTCCATTCTTGTGGCTCCATGTTGTATTTCCCACTTGGTAACTTGCGGAACTCGATTCAAGATTACTATTCTTAGGTTAGTTTCAAAAGACAGACATCCGTCCGAGTCCCCTTTTTTGGTGTTGTAATGCAACCCCTTGGTGGACTCGTGGGTGGACTAGCCCTGATCCATGCCCCGGATTTTAGCCCCTGTCATCTGCAACGTCGATGATTCCCCACCTTTTGCCACACATCATGAGGAAACAAGGAGCATTCTCTCCTGACATGCTGAGGAGATTGTCGCCACTTTCGGTCTGTACCGAATAAAGATGGGACGAGCCAGGTGAAGATCCGAAACAATCTGACAACCTGGTCGTCTGATGCGATCCTCAAGACGAATACAATACTGCTTGTCATCTTTCTCATACTTTTCAAAAGCTTCCAGACTTCAACTGAGAGAAGGTGCAAAATGATACTGATCCAGGTACGGAGAAGAGCACTAGCCCGAGGTTGACCTGATCCTTGGTTTCCCCGGATCAAGACCGATTCAAGATCGGAACGGTCAGGCGCATGGCCCTCGGATATGGACTGCGTGCCAAGACGTAACGTCCACCCGCAGAGTGCGACCATCCAACATCGCACAAAAAGTTAGCCGCGCGTATTACAGAGGTCCATTCATGACGTGGTCCTCAAAGTTTTCCGTCGTCGGTGGTGAGTGGCATGGGTGTTCTGACACCCGCAAAGCTGGAAAACCCGGTTTTGCATTGACGACGCCACGGTCCAACAAATGAAAAGGGGCCATCAGCCTTGTCGAAACACCGCGTCCAAGCCGGGTAGGTGGGCCCTCTTGCTTTTTCTCCTAGTGACAGTCGGCAAAATGTCGAGGAGTCCAGGGAAGCGACTGCCGATTCAACCGGCGGATAAATAGGGGCTGATGCAACCCAAAGGTCTTGGAGTCGGTGTTGTTTGGGCTTCTAGCGCTGGGTCCAAGAGCCTCACCACCTACTGTAACGGGCAAATCCGGGGATCGACGACCGAGAATTGACGCCGGGGAATGGGAAAGAATGGGGAAATGGAGCGTCATCGAGGGACTTTTGTCAAGGCTTGTTCTTTTGTACAACGGATTTGTCTTGTCTCTTGGAGGTCGAGTGCACTGAAAAGAGGTTGATGGTGGCTGAATCAACAAGAGTGGGTACGCCATCCGTTGCCCGGGAGGGAAACCGACTCAGGGGTAATTATGTAAACAGCATATTTGCGCCACATCAAGTACAGCATGCGTATGTGCGTATGTACAACCTTTAGTTGCAAACGCCATTGACGATGGAGACCCTGTTCGAAATCTATCTTGTAAGTCTAAAAAGGTAAGCAGACTAAACTCAAGACGGGTA